CCATCACCTGGAAGGATGAGAAACACAAACTTTGGACAGGTTGGAGCCACCAGGAATGTGCCCAGGAATGTGTCCAGGAATGTGCCATCTGCTGATTGAGTCAGCAACAGCAGGATAAAACAGCTCCCATAGACCAACATAGGAATTAATTCCTATAAGAATGGACTCTCAAGACTGACGACTTTGAGTCTCTGGTTCTGCTGTCAACCTCCAGGAGCATCAGGTGCATCTGACACAGACTCGGCTCCATCCTCGTGACCAAGATACCTGGCCAGTAACTTGGCATGAGCAACTTCTAGGCTGGTAACTATAACACCTATACAGAACTTGAATGAATGATTGTGTGAATGAATCTATATATATGTGTGTGTATAAGGAATAAGTAGTGATAGGAATAAGTAGTCAAACAACGTTGTTTACTTTTATCTTTTGCTTTACCATTATATTTACAATAAATGTGGCATCTTTGCCTTATCCCTCTTAATAAGATCCTGCCAGCTTTTATTCTATTGGTATAACACCAGATCTATTTTTGTTTATCCTTCCATCTAGTTTGAATTAGCTCATGATCACTCGAACCAATGTTGTCCCCCACAACCGTGTCTTCTATGAGGTCCTCACTGCTCACCAAAACTAAATCTAAAATGGCATCCCCTCTTGTTGGTTCTTCAACTACTTGGTGAAGGAATCCATCAGCTATCGCATCCAGAAAAATCTGAGCCCTATTATTATTACTAGCACTTGTTCTCCAGTCTATATCTGGGAAGTTAAAGTCTCCCATGATCACACAATTCCCATTAGTGTTTACTTCATTAAAAACATTAAAGAGGTCTCTATCCATGTCCAAATTAGATCCCGGTGGTCTGTAGCACACCCCAAGCACTATCTCAGGGGAGGCTCTAGTAGCTTTCTTCCCCAGTGTGATTTTTGCCCAAACAGACTCTGTCTTATCCATTCCATTACTTCTTATTTCTTTACAGTCTACCTCATCATTGATATACAATACTACTCCACCACCTTTGCCTTTATTTCTGTCTTTCCTAAACAGCACATAGCCTTCAATACCTGTACTCCAGTCATGACTGCTATTCCACCATGTTTCTGTTATCCCTATAATATCCGGTTTCACTTCCTGCACCAGTAGCTCTTGTTCCTCCATTTTGTTTCCTAGGCTCCTCGCATTAGTGTATAAACATCTTAATTTTTGCCGTTTGGCTTCACTGACATTTACCCAATTAGGCACAGACATTCTACCACCAGTATCACCTATTAGATTGGTATCCACACTACCCTTCTTCCTTATGTCCATTCTCCTACACACGACTGTATCCTTTCTTGCTTTGTTTTCTTCCCTCTCAATGTTAAATTCCGGCTTGGAGATTCCCTGGACATCTCCCAACCATCTCCCCCAAATTCCTAGTTTAAAGCTCTCTTAAAAGCTAAAAGCTCTCTAGGATGCCAGCCTCCATCCTAGAAGTCTATTTCCCTCCTTACTCAGGTGAAGTCCATCCCGAGAGAACAGTCCTCTGTCCATGAATGCTTCCCAGTGGCCATACATCCCAAAGCCCTCCTTATAGCACCACTGTCTTAGCCATCTGTTGATCGCCATAATCCTGTCACACCTTTGTTGCCCTTCTCTAGGAACAGGCAGAATCCCACTGAAGATCACCTGAGCCTTGATTTCCTTAAGTGTCTTCCCCAGTCTGGCATAGTCTCCCTTGATACGTTCCAGCGAGAATCTAGCTGTATCATTCATTCCCACATGAAGGACAATCAGCGGATTCTTTCCCGCTCCCATTAGGATCCTTTTCAGCCTCAGGCCCACATCCCGTATCTTAGCACCCGGCAGACAGCACACCCTTCTGTTCTCCGGATCAGCTCTAGTTACAGGCCTGTCTATTCTTCTCAGTAAGGAGTCCCCAATCACGTAGACCTGCCTTTTCCTGGTGACAGTGCGATTCTCCGGTCTATCCCGTTCCCTCTGGCTTCAAGTCCTCTCGATTTCTATTGTCCCTTGCAATCCTCCGCAACCCATCCCGTATCCTCCTGGGGCTCATATTTGGTGTTGTCTCCATTGACTCTTTGCCTCTTCCTATAGGACTAGCTGCTCTTCTCTTCTTCCTTGCCCTCTCACCTTCAGTGACCACCTGTTGTGCCCCTTCTTCATCTTCCAATTCTGCAAACCTGTTCCTGAGTTCTATTTCTCCTTCACTGGCCCGTCTTTTCCTCTGCCTGGTTCTCTTAGTCACATGCTTTCACCGTCCACTTTCCTCACCCAGCAGTCTCCCCTCAGAATTCTTTGGTCCTGCTTACATCTGCAAGTCTGAGCTTTTCCCTTCAGCCTCCTCATGTCTTTGCTCCATCATCCGCTCGAACCCCCTTATATAGATAACCATGGTGGTTGATAATAATTTGCACTACCGTTGTGCTGGGCACTGCACATATACACATAATAAAAGACGGTTCCTGCCCTGAGGAGCTTATGATTTAAATAGATAAGATGGACAAAATGTGGGATAAAGGAATGATGAGCATGTTATAAAGGGCAGGTAAGTTGCCTAATTTTTAGTCCTGTGCTTCAGCTACTAAATAATACTGCATATTTGCCATGCTGTCATTTATGTAGTAAACTTCTTAACCTTAAAAGATGAGATGCTGGGCTTGGAGCTAACTTTTCAAAGGAGAGCACAATACCTTTTGCATTCCCAAGACCCTCCTATAAGTATGAACATTTGACAAATGTACCCCTATGTGCCTATTTGCACTTACAATAATCCAGTTTGCACACACATGACTTCATGGGTACAGTAAGCCTGCTGGGGGTGAAGACCATCTTTTTGTTCTGTGTTTGTACAGCACCTCACACAGTGGGGTCTTGGTCCATGACTGGGGCCACGAGGTGCTCCAGTAATACAAATAATAAATAACATTCACTTTATACTCCTTTAAAAATTGACTCAGTAGGTCAAAATTATTCTCTTCTACATCTACATATAGTTCAATAAAGCATGCTGAGCAGTCTTTGGTTGACAGTGGTTTGGAACTGGAACAAAGGGGGTGACACTGCTCAGAACTGTGGTGTAATGACAAATCTGTAAGGTGATTTTCTACTTTCATGAGCACTAACCTCCCTCATGTTATTTGTAGAAAACATATAATGGTGGAGGGATGCTTTGTATTTTTTTTTCAGCAACAGAAATGCCAACAGCAAAAGCATTGTATCATGTGATCATTTAAACAAGCTATCATCTGTGCTAGTGATGTTCTACCCAGCTGAAGTATCTAAAAGCCTGGTAGTGATCATGTGGTACATGGGTAGTGGCTAAGCTGAGAGAGCTGAAATTTAACCATTTAAAATCCTAACATTTTATATTACAATATTTTAGATTTTTTAAAATTACATTTGTATGCAAGCAGGTATACATAATAGAAATATTATATACATGAATAGCAGTCCAGAAGAAAAGGGAAACAAGTATAAGTTTAAACATAGCAAATGTGACACATTGTTCAAAGTTTCAGATGAGAAATGTACGAGAACAGACGTCTCTCTTGAGGGATAATTCAAAGTTGCATCCTCTCTCTAGAATGTGGGCAGCAATTGTAACAGAAATAAATATTACAATAGTAGTTATTTTAACATTCACTGTAGAAAACATGGCTTTTGTTTCATGTTCACCATTTTGTGGTTTGCTTTCAGTGTTTCATTTTGTGACTCTCTTCCTGAAGATGTTCTCTCTCCCCATTTGTTTTCTTAATTTTTTTAAAGAGCTAAAAGCTAAAATATTCATAAGTACTATCTACCCAACATTAAGATAAGTGTTTGATATCAGTGCTGGGTGCAGCATGAGTAAGGCCGGTTGTTTGTCAGATTGTCATGGATGGTCATAGAATCTGAGAATATTGGATGCTAAAAATGAACCTGTGCAGAGTTCATCCATTGCAGAGGCAATAGCAGGGATGAGGAACTGCACAATGTGCAGTCTGAACATATTCAGAAGTGAGGCTGAAGCAGAAATAGCTCACACAATCAGGTAATTCACTTCCAGTGGCATCTCCTGGCATCCTACTTCAAATGTCAAAGTAGCTCCCAGGCCACCATAGATTATTTTTAGAGAATTTGTAGTTATTAACAGTACTTTTAGGAAAAGAAAGGCATTGTCTTTTTTTCCAACACCTCAGCAACATGGACACTTGTACATTGCTAGAACTCATCAGCTTACTCCGAAATATTACCAGTAGGTCCCTTAGGGCCAGATCTAGCCATCATTTATGCACATGAGTAATTCCAGGGAATTTAGGGGGACTTCCTGCAGGAATAAAGTTATTAGAGAACTGTTTGCAGAATTGGGGCCTTTCTCCTTAGAGCTTTTCTATCGTTTGGAATTCTGTCAGGTCACCCAGTCACCCTCTCCTTGCCAATGCTGAATGTTTGGGACACAACAGCCGGCTCTGTAGGGCCAGGAGAGGAAACTGGCCACTGATTAGACCTAGTTCTGAAGGTCAGATAATCCCTTGTGTGCTAGGGGCCCTAGGCTGCCCCTCAGTAAAGTAAGATTTCATAGGAGAGCAGGATCAGGGGAGTTGCTTGGCGGGGGAGGGGGGGCAGGGAGGTGCAGTTCAATGCCCCATGCCCAGTTCTATGCCCCTTTGGCTTCAGCTGTCATCATGTAATGACATCGCCCATGGGGCGGCTCTAACCCCGCGCTGCTTCCACCGCTGACCTGTGTGGTCCCCCTGCCCTGCTCCCGACTTCAGTGCCGGGCCGCGGGCTTGCTCCTGCAGCGCGTCTCAGAGCCCGGGAAGGAGGCTGGGTGCCCCGCGCCCTACCGGCCCTGCCCAGGCTGGTGGGTGCTGGGCTGAGCCCCTTCCCCCCAGCACACACCGCTCAGGGCGCCCCCGATCATCCCCCACCCCCAGCTGCTCGCGCCTCCCCCGCAAGGGTTACAAGCAAGACGTCAAGGGCAGTCAGCGCCGAGCCCCTGCCCCACCCGCTCCCATGTGATTGCAACGCCCGCTGCAGCCGCCTCGCGTTCCCGTCCTGCACTGGCTGGGCAGCCGCAGCTTCCACCCCCGCGTACTCTGCTCGGCCGAGGGCAGCTCCCTGCCGCTCCCCCGGAGTCCGGACTCTCCCGCCCCGCGCGCTGCGAAGCCCGAAGATGGCGGCTTATAAACTCCTCTGCAGGCTGAGCCCCGGCATCTCCCCTCCCGCCGCTCCGGGGGCCCGCAGGGGGAGCGCCCCGGCGCTGCTGGCAGCCCAAGCCAAGGTAAGGGGGGGGGCGCAGAGAGAGTTCCCCCGGTTCGGAGCGAGTCCCGGTTGTGCTGGCTTCCCACAGCACCAGCGCGTCCCGTTGACCGAGCCCTGCAGCGACCTTGTGAATTGCCTTAATCGATGGCCTGTTTCCCCGCTTTGCGTCTCGCTGCATGCCCGCGGGCCCCGCGCCGCCGCCTCCCTGCCCCTGGCTACACTGTAGCTGCTGTCAGATTCGGCTACAAAATGGCACGTTTTGTCTCCGCCCGGCGTGAAAAGGGGATCTGGAGAGTCCTTCAGCACATCCAGACGGCGGCGTGTGGGGTTGACCTTGGGGAGGGAAATAACTAACTTTAAGATCCTGCCCTCTTTATTCTTCATAGCCAGAATTCAGGCCTTCCCGTTTCTTTATCAGAGCCGTTCGTGCGTTAATTGGGTGCCTGCTTTGGTGTGTAATGTACACAATGCAAAACAACGATTTATAAGATCTGCTTTGGAAGATGCAGAGTCCTCCCTCCAGCTAGGTCTCTGTACTGGCTCAGAAAAGAAGGGAAAAACCACGGAGTCATCAGGGTGTTATGATTTGCTGATAATGAGCTAGTTGTTCAGGACTTGCGCTGTTATCTTTGGATAAGACAAGATGTGACTTTTAATACACTTGTGAACAAATTTTTGGAGATTTCCTCAGCCCCAGAATGGCCTCTTCTGCTGCCAGAGGCTTCTTACTAAGCAGTATAGATGAAAACACTAGTCTCTTTATATTGCTAGGTAAAATGTATTAATGGGAAAATGAACTACTTTCACCGTGCCCTTTGGTAGCTTTTAAATTACTCATAAATGGTGTGCCTCACACAACAGGACATGAAGGCTGGGGTCTGGTCTTGGGCTCAGTTAGAAAAGTAAAAGGGCAAGAAAGTTTTCTGGGGCTAGAATTCTAGATCTAGAGCCCATCTCCTGCAAGCTTGAAACTTGGATTTGGAGCTTTGCATGTAGTGACCTTGCAGGATGGGGCCTGTAGTTCATACTTTGAAATCTTTTTTTTCAACATTTGGAATATTGATGAATTTGTAAGATTTATTCATCAATTTAAAATATGCTATTCATTGTATTGCTTCAACATTTTCACAGGTGGGGGTGGTTGACCTATAATCTTACCCCACATGGTTGTGTACAGTGCAAACAACAGATGATGATTCTGTGTAACAAACCGCACTTAACAACTGAAAACATAGTTAATTTCACCTTGACAAGGCTTCCTAAACTAAGGCTTTATATTCACATATTTATATATCTCCTGTTATGTGTGTGTGTGTGTGTGTGTGTGTGTGTGTGTGTGTGTGTGTGTACACCCACCCACCAAACAATATAGGTGAAATGAGAAGCATATTCCCGCTGTACTATTTAGAGCTGCAACCCCATAATTAATTTTAGTGCCAGACATTTTAAAATCAGTACATTGGGTTAAGTGAGTTGCATTTACAATCTGTTATTGGAAGAAATGAACAAATACTGATATTTAACTATGGACATATTTATAAAATACACTGATCTCTGTAAACAAGATTATCTTATGAGACTAGTTTTTTGTCTAAAGAGACACCGAAGTGGAATCAATATTGCATATAAACATCGTAGCATAATATATATGTCATGAACGCCAGGAGAAGCAGAACTGCCAGAGCTGATCGTTTGGAGGTCCAGGAAGGGCACTGGTTCACAAAAAGGTGTTGGAACTCAATCCCCCGTCCCTCCAAACGCTGAAAGACTTTGTGCTATTCAAACTCCAAACTTAGTAGATGCAGTCTCCCTCCTACACAGTTCATGGGATACTTCCCATCATAAAGCTGTAATACAAACTGTTTTGTTCATGCATGCTGATTTCCTTTAATGTTGTTCCAGATTTGTGGCTGCTATTTCTCTACCAGCAGTCATCGCAACACCAAATTCTATACTGATGCTGTGGAAGCAGTAAAAGACATACCTGATGGGGCAACTGTACTTGTTGGTGGTAAGTATTAGTTAACGAGAACGTCTCATCTTCTAAGTAGGACACTCTCAACTTGAATTTTTTAATTGACTAATTTAAAAACGTGGTTAGAACACCTTTTAAATATCATGTACTGAGGAAAATATTTCTTTTTAATATAGCATTTCCTATTCTCCTATTGATGATTACAAGGGCCTTTTCAGTAAGTAAGAAACTGACTGAGTCTTAGCAGAAAAACGGGGGAGGGGGACAGAAAACTCGCCCTCCCCAACTAACCATCAGTAACCGAAAACTTAGATGTTACTTAGGTGTGGAATGTTTTCAGGTGGATGGCCTTTTCAGGTCACTAGTATCCCTTTAAATGGTGAGACAAAAATTTGCAGTTTGGTAAAATTTAATATGGATTTTGGTGAAAAGTGGAAGATGGAAAAATTGGGGGCTGGGGAATGCAGAGCTCTTGCCATCTGTTTGGCACGCATCTTCAAGCACCTCTGCAAGTATCTATATATCAATGAACTGGCTGATGGCACCAATTTAATACCCTATTTCATCTCTGCCCACTCTCCCAATAGAGCTTAACATGTTGATTTATCTCCCAGGCAGAAAGATGAGAAATGCTAGCAGTGGGTGGGGAATGGGTGCTGACTGCCCCTGACATGGGGGAGAGGGAGAATGGGCGAGCTTGGTATGGGGGAGGGAGATGGAAGGCAAACCGAGCCTCTGGCATGAGGTGGAAGGTGGGAATGGGGGCATACACACATGGCATGGGGGAGTGGGGAGGAACACAGAACTCATAGCAAAGGGGAATGGGGAACCCTGTTATGGAAGAAGGAGATAAAGGGGGAATGATGGTGTACACAGATCCCTGATATGGGGGCACACAGAATCGCTGGCAGATGGAGAGATTGGGGGATCCTGTTTGGGGGGGGAATGGAAAAATGAGGGTGCACACAAAGTCTCTGTCATTAGGGAGGGGGGTGGGGAGACTGAAGGAAGTCTCTGAAATAGAGGGGCATGGGAGGGTGGAACACAGAGAGCTTGTGCATGGAATGGAGGAATGCAAGGAGCCCCTTATTTGTGGTCTAAAGAAGCACCATAGAGTGTGGCCCCCTAGTTATATCGTGCTTAATGAATATGGGTAACTTGGGACTCGAGCACCAAAGGCCATGTCTACATTAAAAATTTTGGTTGATGCAAGTTACGTTGGCATAAAGCCATTGCAATTAGTACATCGCTTGTGTGTGTGCACACTTGGCTCCTTGCATCGGCACTGCACATATTCACGGGGAGTGCTTGTGGGTAGGTATCCCAGGGTGCAGCCCATCACCCTCCAGCACACTGTCTTTCATGAAGTTTTGGCAATGCCTGGTAGGGCAGAAATGAGTTGCGATGGGGATGACTGGGAGCATAGGGTTAACTTCCCAGCGTGCAACTCTCCATCCCACAATGGCATCTATGTCCCTTAATTTTCAAGCCTTCTTTAAAATCCCATGAACCCGCATAGTCCTCCTTGCTGTCTGCCATCTCAGTGCAGAACTGTGCAGTCTCCATGCTTCTGTCAGTTGTCATAACCGTTACAAGCAAAGGATGCACAATTTTCCAGTATTTGTAGAGCCATAAGAAGAACCAAATGGGTAGAGGGGAAGATGACAATTCCTTGGAGGACAGATTGCTGTGGGACATAGTGAGAACCAATTGAAGGCTGTTTGTGGCATTCACAGAACAGCTGCAGATGGTGAAGCACCACTCCTGGGCCTAAGAAATGAGCACTGACTGGTGGGATCGCATCATAATTGCATCATAATGCTGGCTTGGGATGACCAGCAGTGGCTGCAGAACTTTCAGATGTGCAAGGCCACATTCCTCGATCTGTGTACTGAGCTCACTCTAGCGCAAGGGACACTGAAATGAGAGCTGCACTGACAGTGGAGAAGCGAGTGTTGATTGCACTGTGGAAACTTGCAATGCCAGATTGCTATTGGTCAGAGGGAAATAATTTTGGAGTTGGAAAATCCAGTGGGGGTGGGGGCTGTTTTATGCAAGCATGCAGGGCTGTTAATTGCCTCCTGCTATGCAGGGCTCTGACTCTCAAAAACATGCAGTACATAGTGAATGGGTTTGCAGCAATAGGGTTCCAAACTGCGGTAGAGCAATAGACAGCATGCATCTCCCTATTTGGCACCAGACCACCTTGCCACTGAGAACATCAACAGAAAGGGCTACTTTTCTATGGTTATGCAAGCATTGGTGGATCACCAGGATGCTTCACCAACATCAGTGTTGACTGGTCAGGGAAGGTGCATGATGTTTGCATGGACACAGCACTGTTCAGAAAGCTGCAAACAGGGACTTATTTTCCCGATAGGTGATTACAATTGGTGGTGATGAAATGACAATAGTGACCCTGGGGAATCCAGCCTATCCTGGCTCCCCACACTTATGAAGCTGTTCGCTGGCCACCTCCACTGTACCAAGGAAAGATTCAATTACAGGCCTAGCAGGTGCAGAATAACAGTTGAATGTACTTTTGGTAGATGCAAGGGATGCTGGTGTTTACTCACAAGAATGGATTTCAGTGGTGGTGGTGGTGGGGGGGATATCCCAATAGTTAAAGCTGCCTGTTGAGTCCTGCGTAATATCTGTAAAGCAAAGTGTGGGGGGGGGGGAATTGCTGCCGGGGTGGAGGTGGAGTGACTGTCTGCTGAGTTTGAACAGCCAGACACAAGAGCTATTAGAAGAGCTCAGCACCGAGCTCAGGGAGGATTTGAAAGAGCACTCTAACAGTTGAGTCTCAGTAATGCATTGTGATGGACTGTGCTCTACCTGGCCCTGCAGTTTCGGGGCCTGTTAGGAATTGTGGGTGCTTGGCACATATCTATGAATATAACATTGCCAATGCACCTGTTCATTCTGTGGTGCTTCCTGTAAATTTGATTATTACACTGTCACTGATCCTATGAGTTGGTCACACTGCACAGTAGCAAGTTATGTAGGTGCTTTCAGAATAAAGATGAATTATTTCCCAAGTAATAAAATTTTATTCAGTAACAAAGTCAGTGCAAAGAAAAATCTCTGCAATTTAAAATCAAATACATTTAAAACTCAATAAATTAATGCACCAGAAGTTAAAAAGGGAAAGAACATTCATATCTATTTTACCTACACATACACTGACCTGTGAATGCCACAGTTGCTGCATGTGAAGCTGTAGCTGTCCATAATGTTCCCGGGTGGAGTGGCAAGGGTTGAGATGCAGCCCCTGATGCCATGTGAAATGTTGAGGGGCTGGTATAGGGAAGTGCTGTAATGGAGTTGACTGTGGACTGCAAAGGGAGGCAAGCCTGTGATATTGAACTTGTAGGCTCACAAGAGTTTGCAGAATCTGTATATGCTGCCCGTGTCTGCTCTTTCCTTCTCCAGGCTGTCTGCACTGTTCACCCTCCAGGTCCTTTGCTCATGGTCTGACGCAGCACTGGCTTGCAGGATCCCATTGAACATATTGTCCTGAATTGTCTTTTCTCCCCTCCTTATCTGGCTCAGGCATTCTGTGCATGTGTGTGTGTGGGGGGGGGGGGGACCCCACAATGTCGCAAAGGCAGAAGCTGCAGATTAAAACACTGAGCTGCCTTTGTCAATATAGTTGCAATGGAAAGTGAAAGTTAAGATTTGGCACTTCCTTCTCTTGCTCCCCTAAAGTTTTAAGCAGGACGTGCTTATTTGCACTTCTGCTTCAGAGTGATTGTACACAGTGCCACTCGCAGCACCAGCCATGGCTCTCCAAGGTGAGAGAAATGAGGAGGGAATTTCTTGGTTGCATGGAACTATGATTAGGGCAATGGCAATGAATACTGGCACCATTTCCACAGGTGGTGATGATTTTTAGCTTGTATCTCACTCCTCAGGGTAATAAAAGCACAGAAAATGCTGCTGCTGCTGGTGTCCTAAAGCTGCCCAGGCCAATATGCTGCTAGCCTGTGTACTGCAAAGGTGCCTGCCAATGTTTATTGCTGACTGGCATGGGAAAGTGTCCTAACACAGAGGAAGAAATAAGGCTGCTATCCCTAGAAATCTTCAGGAGCGGACTGCAGAGTATCTCCATGAAGGTTTCATTGAGACCTCTCAGGAGGATTCAAGGGACATCCCTGTGTTCATAAACAAACTGTTCTCCATGCCTCCTCACCCCAAACTGTACAGGGGAGTGAAAAGCAGATAAACAATTCTACCCCTCTTTATTGTACTGCTACCTCTTCTAGTATGAGTAAATTAATGAAAAATTGGTATCAGTGTCCTGTTAAATTGGGGGTGCCACCAGTATGTCATTGAAATGGGAAATACCATCACATGTTTACCTGAGGTTCCTTCCCCTGCAACGGGCTCACCTGTGCTTGACTGCTGGGACTGACTGAACTGTAGTGGAGTCTCAAATAGGTCCTGGCTTGCAACCGGGGAGTCCAGTTATGCCACGTCCCCCATCCTCCTCCTCGCTGTTCATGCCAGAGGCCTGTGGCTTGGGCTCCTTGGAAGTATCCACAGTGGTGTGCAGGGTGGTGGTGAGGTGTCTGCCAAGTATGGTATGCAGCTCTTTGCAAAAGAGGCAGGTCTGCATCTCAGCACTGGATTGACTGTTGGTCTTCTGATATGCCTGCCACAGTTCTTTGGCTTTCACGCAGCACTGCTGCTGATCACAGTTGCGAACTTTCACGTGGTAAATAAGCACCCCGACTTTCACAATAAACCAAAAATCAAGCTAATCCCATTTCAAAACAAGCCAATCCCTAAAATCCCCAACACTCTGTGACTAGATTTCCCCCCCCCCCCCACGGGTTTGGCATGTCTGCTGCTGATCCCTGTTGTACCTCGTGTCCCACATCCCCTGTGTGATCTGCTTGTAATGTCCATGTTTCTACGGCTGGTCAATAGCTGTGCTTCCACAGCCTTTTCCCACAGGCCCAGGAGAGCCAGAATTTTCTGTCTTCTCCAAACAGGAGCCCATCTGGAGTGTGTAGACCGCATGGTCAACTGGGCAGTTGAACTCAGCAATGGAGAGCTGCTAGGTGTGCTCACCAAGCATGACAGGAAAAGACATTTAAAAAAATTGTGTGGCTTTAAAGGGGAGGGAGGCCTTCCAGTCTCTGACCCCTGGGCAGTGGAGTTAAAATTGTGACGAGAGCAGTCAGTGTCAGGCATTGTGGGACAGCTGCTGGAGGACTGTTAGCGTCAACATAAGTAACCAGTGTTTTTGCTTATGTTGCATCAACCTCAGTACGTCGACTGTGGCTCAGTGCTGCTTGGGGAGCTGGTATTACTGTGTTGCCACAATGGGGCATTTACATCAGTGGGAGACGCATTTAAAAGTAGACATATGCACAACTAGAGTGATGCAAGGCGTCTTGCGTCAACCTAACTTGGTAATGTAGACCAGGCCTGAGTCACTAAGGTGCTTAGGAAAAACTTTTACCCACACACATGCACACACCCACAAAAACTTTGAAATTCCCTAATGGAAAAATGCTGCAAAGACTGATTTAGGTTATATTTCTGCTACAGTACCTTCTACTGGCCAATTGGTAACACTTTATATCTACATTATAAAAGTGTCCTGTATGTCTCCTATTCAGAAGTTAAAATTTTTAATTTTTACTGTGAAATATCAATATGGTTTGTAAACAGAAATCTCTTAAAAAAAAAATCCAGCTATCATGTAATCACATTTTTAAAATGTATCATATGGGCTCTCTTGATAGTTACCACAAATTCATAACAGTAAGGCTGAAGGGAAATACACACTTAGTGCAGAGGTTTTTTTATTTACATGAGGAAGTATTAGTTTTTGTTCCAAACAAAGAACATAATTCTTGTCTTGCAGAGTTTACAATAAAAAAACACATGGGTCCTATACAAGTGTCTAAATACAATGATGGGTAGTTGCCATCTAGCAAATACAGAAGAGCATGTGCTCTTCTTATTTGGAATGTTTTATGGAGTAGCTGGGTTTTTACAAGTTGCTGGTGGGGTTTTTAAGGCAAAAGAGGGGCTGCCCCAGGCCTATGGGGCTGCATGGGGCTTTCTGTGTTCTCACAAAGATGAGAATACAGAAAGAGAGAACTCTGATCACAGTTACTCTAGTTCTACAGATTGGTAGTAGAGATCTGAATTAGAGTCTTCAGAACTGAAGCAGGACTGGATTGAAGTAGGGAGAGTATATCAGAGGAAATGAAGGCAGAGATGTAGCTGGAGGCAAACTATGGGTTGTGCGAAACTGAAGAGAAGAAGCTTAAACTTAATATTGCAGAAGCGGGGAAGCCACAGTAGAAGTCCAGTATGGAGATAAATATAGCCAACATAATGGGAAGGGAAGATGACTTTTGGATGGACTGAAAGGAAAGGAGATTGTACCCTCCCAAACCAACATTCATAGTAATGGCAATAGCGTGATTAAAGTCCTATTCCCTATTCTGAGAAACATTTTCTCCAAGTGTTGAGCTGCTTATTCATCTATAACCAGATTATTCTCTTCTGTGCAGAATGTATATGGCTTTTATCATCTGCTGCACAGATTTATTTCTTACAATGAAATTGTTCCCTCTAGAATGCTTGTTACGTTCTTTGTTTGTATTTGTTTTACATAGGTTTTGGATTGTGTGGAATTCCAGAGAACCTCATAGGAGGCTTACTGAAGACTGGAGTAAAAGGGATAACTGCAGTCAGTAACAATGCAGGGTAGGTGTTCATACACCCTTGGAATATTGTATATAAAGAATTAATAAACCTGCTTACATAAATTATATTTTAACAGAGCTGTGATAAGTCTTCCATTGGAAATGAGGTTATATTTTCCCTAGGAAGAGCCATCCTTGTGACTTGACATTCTATGGCCAAAATTATCCCAAAAGGGTGATGCGAGGTGCATGTGCTTTGAGCTGCCAAGATCTTGTTATGATTTGGACAAATTCCCATGGCTGCTCATTAAGCTATTTTTGGAACAGTTATTTGGGCATGACTATAGAAGTACAGTATACTTCCAAGCTTTGTCATCGAGAGCTGTTGTCACTGCTGTGGCACATGGTGAGTTATTTATTCTATTGAATGCCACCACAAAACCTGGTTATACATATTTCGGCTAAACTGTTTTAAAAGCCATGATTTCAACTCTACTTCCTTTTTTAAGTCGTAGGGAATTTTTGAACACTCCGTTTGTTACTCACATAGTACCTTTGTTACAACAAAAGACTGCAGAAGAGATTCTCCTCAGTGAGTTTTGGGGTATGTCTACACTGCAATAAAAACCTGCAGCACCAAGTCTCAGAGGCCAGGTCAGCTGACTTGGTCTTGGGCTGTGGGTCTAAAAATTGCAGTGTTGACTTTCGGACTGGGGCTGAAGCCTGGGCAATGAGACCCTCCCCCTCACAGTGTATCAGAGCTGGGTTCCAGCCCAAACCCAAACATTAACAATGCAGTTTTGTAGTTCCACAACCTGAGACCCGCAAGCCTGAGCTAGCTGACCCAGGCCAGCTTCAATCATGCTGTGGGTCTCTTATGGCAATGTAGACACCCTTGTGTGTCTTCTAAAGAATTTCTTAACTGTTAAGCATTTTTATGTAAGTGGGAAGAGAGAATGACTCCTGAGTATGGATATTATCCCTCAGCCTTCGCACAATTTATCTTGTGTATTTTTAGAACTCTTTGATGATGATTTCCAGAGCACTTAATAATCTTCGTATATAGAAATAATTTCACCCACTGAAGTGCATCTACTTCTGGGGTGGAACATAATAGCTATTTAACAGTGCATGGCAATACTGTTAGGATAGAGTGTGAAACTGCAGGGAGGATGCTCATAGACTCATAGACTTTAAGGTCAGAAGGGACCAATATGGTCATCTAGTCTGACCTCCCGCATGATGCAGGCCACAAAAGCTGACCCCCCCCACTTTCCCTTAACTCTGCTGTTGAAGTCTCCAGATCGTGATCTAAAGACTTCAAGTTGCAGAGAATCTTCCAGCTTGCTGATGTGCAGAGTATATTTAATTATATTTGAATTTGCCCAGCCCATTGGGGCATACACCCCATCTCCTTTGCAATATCTCATGGGATGGTTAGTAACCAAAAGTGGTGATAACTTTTTTGTTTAATAACTCATCTGATAAAATGGCACTGTCAGCAACTTAGGCCTGGTCTACACGGGGGGAGGGGGGAATCGATCTAAGTTACGCAACTTCAGCTACATGAATAACGTAGCTGAAGTTGACTTACTTAGATCTACTCACCGCGGTGTGTCGACTGCTGCCGCTCCCCCATCGACATTGCCTACGCCTCTCGCGGCAGTCGAGTACAGGAGTCGACAGGAGACTGCTCGGGGGTCGATATCGATCGCTGCCCACCAATCCAGCGGGTAGTATAGACATACCCATAGTAACTCTGAAGAACAATGTTTTGTTATTGACTTAGAGGGAAGAATGTGAAATCATTAATACATCTTCTTGTAGCATTTATGCTTTCTCCTGGGAGTTTTCCCACGACTTGCTGACTTGACCTAAACTTCCTTTTCTTGTGAAATCTGTGATCACAGTCCAAGGTGCTGTGTTTACAGGTCATTATTGTAGTGTAGGCTTGTTTCTTAAATCTCCTGTTTCACCATTTTCCCACCCCCCCCACCTCTTTTTTGGCACAGTGTCGCTTGTAATGTCAAGCAAACCAAGTAATGCCAGCGTGCTATCATTTCTGCAGACTTGTACTTACTTTGTTTCTTCTATACTCTGAATTCACGTCAAGGCAATGACAAAATATTACATTGTTTCAGTAGAACTGGATTAATATTGGTGGTTCTTATGGACCATTTCCTTGGAAAGGAAGTTTGTGGGACCCTATCCACATCTTCCAAGGGAAGGGTGATGATGAATCAGGGACCTTGCATCTTGTTGGTGGGGGGCAGTGAGAGAACATAGGAGTGTAGTTAGAAAAGATGACCTGAAATGTCTTTTCCCCTGCAGGTTGGTTCTTAACATTATTTTACCAGAGGGGGTTAATGTGAGTTAAGAACAGAATGTCATTCTAAGTATATTTTCCGCACCGCAGTGCAGACATTAGCATATTAAAAATAAATAAAAAGCTGTTTGAAAAGTGACTGTCCTCTTCCAGTAAGGTTTCCTGTTATAAAAGGTTCAGAATATTAATGTATAACACTTGAGTTCTCATTTAACAAAATTTTAGCCAGTTTTAAAAAATCTATCATCTGAGTGAAAATACAAGATGAAGTTGGATGCTTCCTTGAGTTAAAATACATAATGAAGCTGGGTGCAACTTGATAGTGTGAAAGACCAGATCCAGGCTTTTACTCTTTAACTTTCTTTCCTCTAATTTTACAAGTGCAGCTTAAACATTAACAAAATTTCTTTTAATCTGCTGCTCTATTGACAGTGTAACTGGATGATAAGATAATGCTGATCCATTCATCATTAAAACACTTTTAGCCTCTACCATTGCCATATTTGAGTGAGATTGTTGAAAGCATGACATCATAAACTGAAAGTACTTTGCTTCACAACAAAACACCTATTAGTATCTGTCTTCACATTTTTACATTTATTCTGACGTAGGTAATTTCAGAATACTGCTGTTCCTTTTTAGCAATGAGTATGAGAATTTGTAAATGTTTAGGAGACACTGTGTAGTTTAGGCTAATTTGACAGAGTCCGTTGCACTTCTGTTTCCTTAGAAAGCTTCCTGCTTCTGATATAAGGTCATTTGGCTCTTGATGGAACCTTTGCAAATATCTTTCCACCCTCCTGTTTAATCCTGTTATGCTTCTCTCCATTGCCCTCTCATCCCGCTCCTCTTCCTTTCCCTTCTTTGAAAGATGCCTCCAGACTGACATTTTATTAACTTTATGTATTCTTTGCTTTTAATGAAAGGTGATATATATTTTTGAGTATAGAGATTGGGTCTGTGTATAAATGTACATACTTCTTGTTGGGTTGAAATCCAACACTTAATGTTCCTTTCATATGTTGTTTGGACCACATCATACCTTCAGTTACACCTGTGCAACTTCACAGATTTGGTTTAGATTGATTTGAATAGAAGGAATTGAGGTAGAATTTGGCTCTGTGGGCCAAATGCCAGTTTCCATGGAATGAAGCAAAGAAAGGGAAAAGAGGCCTGAAACCATTTAAAGGAGAGGAGCGGGATAGCTCTATCATATGCTTCCTCGCTTGCCATTCCCAGATGAGTAGAACATCATCATATAGCTGAATAATTGATTTTTTTTGCTGTGGGGGGGAACTGAGGAGCAGCCATTTTGTTCCATGCCCCCAGGGGAGTTCTAATAAGGAGTTAACTGAGCTCCAAACAACGTTAACTCTCCTTTGTAACTTCTGCTGGTTGGAGTCCTGGAAAGAGCTTGGCTGTCAATGGGAACCCAGGACCATATTCAGCTCCCATTGAAACCAGGCTTTCCACTGACACTAATGGGAGTCAGATAGGGTCCCTAGAGAGCAGTGTGATGGGGCATGCTTTCCTTAGGAATGCCCAGAAATCCATGATGCTGCAGATTCTTGGGCTCTGAATGGTTGGAAGGCTGTGTCTCCGTCCTGTTCTGTAGGGCGACAAACAGCCACTATCCCTGAAGGAAGAATGCAGCTGTAATCCCATAACACTCCTTGCCAAGATCATAAAACATTTTCCCTTTTTCTGTAGGACATGAGCGTGTAACCCTGTGTACTTTCTTTAAATGGGCTGTGTTTGTTTTAGGACAAAGATATAATTGATCAAATTTGAATGACTGCATATTGAAAGACTTGCATTCAGGATGAATTTTAGGCTTGTGATCCTCCACCTATGGTGCATGTTACATCTGAGGAAGGTGAACATTGAAAACAATTATTATTACACATGCACTAGCTTGTTTTGACTCCAGTATTAATAGTAAGCCATGCCTACTTTTAATATTTTTTCCTAATAGTACCACAGGCCATTTGCATAAAAATGCTTCCTGAAATCCTAAGGAAAAAGCTATCCACACAGGACAGCTAATTTTCAAAGTATGTCCGTATTTAGCCACACAGAACCTTGACAACATCCTTTCACTGAAACAAGAGGGATCTCTTCCAACTAATGAGACTGCTGACCACTATTCACTGATATAAAGGTGGAGAAAGTTAGACATTTCAGCCAGCCAAGCCATCACATTAGAAAACTCTTGTGAATGCGTAGGTCTATTAAAAGAAGTACATTGTCTGATCCTTTGAACTATTTGGGAGACCCCAGGGCTATAATTCTGTAATCATTTAAGCAACAGTGTAATGTTTACTCATAGGAGTAAAGTTACTTTTGTCCTGAAGTGTCTGCAGACCCTCACTCCAGTCACTGTTTTTCATTAATTGTGCCCCAGAATTACTTGGGATCTGGGTCCGGTAGCCCCTCCCTTTAGGCTGGCAGTAGAAGCCTTTAGCCTATGCATGACTGGATTTTCAGTAGGTGAAGAGTCTGCAGAACTGAAGCCCATGTTAACACAGAATACCAAGCAATTATCCTCCTAGAGCACGGTCATCCGCCTGTAATTGCAGCTACTCTTAAAAGCTCTATAGAGTTTTAATTCAGTCCAATCTTTTTATAGGTTTTGGAATGATTCTATAAAATTATATAGCAGGGATATACTCCTAAATACCATATGAAGATTTTAAAAAAAACCATACAGCCAGTTTAATTTCTTCTTTTCATAA